TCCATCCATCCATCCATCCATCCATCCATCCATCCATCCATCCATCCATCCATCCTTCCATCCATTCAACCATCCATCCATCGATGTTATGTATATATTTATGTATCTACCTTTTGTATCTATCTTAGTCAATTAAAAAAAACCAAACACCTCCTCTCCCCAAAAACAACAACAAACAAACAAATAACAACATACACAAAAACCAAAAATAAAATGAAAACAAAAACAGCAAAAAATAACAAAACAAAAACAAACAAAAAATAGCAACAAAAACAAACACCCTTTACTAATTAATGTGATTTTTCAGAATTTAAGTGAACTTATTCACGGATCCTGCTTCCCATTAGAACAAGGTAAACGTTTTTTTAAAAGTCTGTTTTTTTTGTATCGATGCAACCCCCCCCCCTCTAAGAAAAAAACCAATGGAGTTTAAACAAGGATCTCCTCACTCCTCCTATGGGCTCCTGACTCTTTCTGCAGCCTTTCTACTGCTACTCCTTGGCTCCTACTTACTGCTGTCTTTCAGCCATACCCCTGATCTTATGGTAGGTAAGATCTAACACCTAGCCTTCTCGGATAAGAGCAAGAAAATCTCGGAGGTCCCGTGTGCAAGTTGCGCACGTTAAAGATTCTTTGACGGTCCAAAATCGATAAGAGTAGGCTTCGGCTGCCACCAGGGCAAAATTGAAAATTCCTACCACACCAGATCGTTCGATGTGTTCCGCGCACTTATATGACCTTATGCAGTTGCGAGCGCCGTAAAACACTTACCACCCCCCTCCCCCCCCACAAAAAAAAATGATTTAAGTTGTATCAACGGGGATGTGAAAGCATCCACATTAAATAAATAACAAAAAATCTTTAACATACAATGACTACCGTTTTTGGCCAACTCATGCACGTGCAATGGTCAAAATCCACGAATCACACAACTCTTTCATTCAACAGTGGGTGGTTGGCGGGTGTTCTGGTGTGGTTTGCTCCTTGCTTCCTATTATATATCTTGGATTACTTGGATTACTTGGATCCAGAGCTAGAATCATAGCAGGCGGCACATATCCATAGCTGCTCTTCTCTCCTTTCCAGCATCCACCCCAGGGTCTTCCTGCTATTTGTCTCCATGAGGAGCTGGTTTGAGACACGCCAGACCACTCTTCGGAGCAAACTTTTTTTTCCTGATCCCCCGCACACACTTTTCTTTTATTGTGCTGAGTGTATGGGAGTCTGTCTCCTCTTGGTCGGGAAGGCTCTCCTTGCATCTGGCGATCACCATTGGTGGGTCGAGCATGATTCGTCTTTATTTCTTCTCTTCCTTTTCGTTGTATGTTAATTTACTCTCTGATAACATCTTTAATCTTCTCCACTAAAATGACCTCATTTAAGTTGCAAAGTGGCGTGAAAACTCTTACAAATATGGCCTATCTGTGTGGCAAAGTGCTGCAACACTCTTACTAAAACTAAAACGTAACCTTTTTTCGACAGAAGTCCACTGTGCAACAAGGTGAAGACATCCCCTACGAGCAAAGATACGGTTATAGTGAGACTGGGTTAACCATGGCACCTCGAGGGAAAATGATCGCGGACTTCTGGACTGTGTGCACAACTGTGCTGTGTCTGCTCTTGTGTATCCGAACCGTCGTCACGGACGAAGAAAGTGAGTATAAAAACGGCTCGGTACTGTGATATTTTCTCCTTTGCAGTTTCTAGCGCCTTAAAACTCTTACTAAACTGTATAAAAAGTAAGAGATGAAGGTATCGTAACTCCCATAGAGCTTTATCGTTCGGGAGTGGGAGCCTTCGTATTGCAGTGGATTTAAAGAGCTAAATATACACCTCCTTTGAATAATGGGCTATTCCACGGTAACTGACAGGACATTTGGACAATACTTCCTTACAATGATAACACTGTAATTCAATATCAATCAATATTTATTTCAACTGTAAATGATCAGAACATTTGATAGACAAATTAAGAATCATGTCAAATGCAGTCATTTTGAAACAAAAGTATCTTAATGCGAATTCTGTGACGTGTTCAGTTTCGGTAAATGATGGGACAGAAAAAACCCCCTCATTTGTCCCGTCATTTACCGGAGAATAGATCTAGAACTCTAGTTGTAATTCCTTTTAGATTGATTGCCCGCCTACAGAGCTCTCATCGGGCTGAGAGGATAACAACGTGCAGCAGAAAGACCGTGATACTTTACAAAAGATTCTTTTCTCACGAAAATCAAACGCTGGTCTTCTGCGTGCGACGTCGAAGTGTGCCTCAAAAGCGGTCTCATGGGGCGGTAAACTTGTTTAAAAAAACACACACAAAACCAAACCAGTCCAAACTAAACAAAAAAAAGTCACCCCCCAACAAAACAACAACAAAAACAACAACGACACAAAAAAAAAATGCATATAAAATCTTTTCCTTTTTCTGTTTAGATAGCGAATACTGGCGCCAGGTGGGACGATACGCTCTAAGGCGAGCGATCACAGTTGCCCGTCACCAGAACAAGAACTTGGCGCGAAATATTGTCCTGTTCATCGGCGACGGAATGGGGATTTCTACAGTGACGGCTGCCAGGTAAAAGTAACGGATAAATCTTCATACTTTCTGTCAATCCAGGGAACAATCGAGTTTCGCTGGTGTTATTGTTATACTTGCTGTACTGTTACTTTTGTTGTAACCAGAACTGAATAAAAGTTATTATCAGTAATCAACCTCTTGTCATGAAAATCCGTGTTTTTAATTTGTGTTAGATGGTTCTTAATGTACACATCATTGCCTTTTCCCCACTGCTGGCCACAACCGACAAAATATGGCCGGCTCTGTCCGTCTGGCCCAGTTAACGGACTCCCTCAGGTATCTTGTTTCGTTAGTCAGAAACCGCCGCTTTGAAAAA